TCTCTCTCTCTCTCTCTCTCTCTCTCTCTCTCTCTCTCTCTCTGTGTGTGTGTGTGTGTGTGTGTGTGTGTGTGTGTGTGTGTGTGTGCACACACACACACACACACACACACACACACACACACATCAGGGTGGAAAGGGGTTGTTGTGGTGACAGTTTACAACACATAACCACCCACACCTGTACACCCGCTTTTTCCTGCCCTCAGAATTGTACTTCTGCTTCCCATAGCCATGGATTTGACTCAGCAAGCGCAGTACAACCCCCAACTCAGATTTGAAAAAAAATCAGTGGATGGTTGTTTTCTGACTGTTCGGCAGACCGCCGACCGGTCGGCCCTGCTGGACGGCTGCAATACGGTCGGCAGTCGAGGTCGGCGGACGGCAGGTATGCAACCCAGCGCTTTGGCTTATTTGTTAGGATTGTTCTCCCGTACTTCTCGTTTTGGCTTTTAGTTGGGATCGTTTTCTTGTGAAGACATTTCATGCAGTGCGCCGAGTGTGTGCTGATTCTAAGGACATCTCGTTTTTCAATTTGGTTGCTTATCGGTGTGATCTGCAGGTTGACCTCCAGGCTCAAGCAAGGGCACATAGAATTGGCCAGAAGCATGATGTATTGGTTTTGCGGCTTGAGACGGTGAGGCAAGCTCTCGTCATCTGCTACTCCCTTTACTTGATATATGCATTCCCTGTGTTTATCCCCTCCCCCCTTACTCTGCCTCTTTCTTAAATCATACAAGTGGGCCGTTATGGCACACGGGGATGCGGGCAGCTCACGATCAACGTCATCAATGTAGCGAGCCTTGTGCGTTGAGAGGCACGGGGAAGGGGGAGTTAAAGAAGAATTACAAAAATGAATGGTTTCAGAACTTTCAGTGTGCCCTTCAAGTTGGGCCTTTTTTTTTTTCTTTCTGGGTACCGTTTGTTTCGCAAAGTGCACTCTTTTAGTTCATAGAGATGTGACAGCATATTCTGTTTGACGATATATATCTTCTGCCGCTCCTAGAGGTCTGAGGCTCTGAGCTGAACTGATTCGGTCCATTCTGTGTCAAAAATTTCAAATGGAGTGTTGAAGGTCGGGGGGGAAGAGGTGAGGGGGGATGGGGGCAGGGTAGCTTTATGCTTGGGGCACAATAGGGAAAAGGGTGGGGGAGTGTGGAGGGGACTGTCACAGAATGGCTTTGCATGGGAAAGACGGTGAAGGGAGAAGGCAGCATCAGAGCGTGATGCAGTGTGTCTCGCACGTAGGTAGCAAGGCCAGCTGTTTGGCCCGACTTTTCTGGCCGGACCATCAAGAAATGCCTGGCCAGAGGTAGTAAGGCCTGATGCCTGATGCCTGGTCAGCCTTTTAGGGTTCCAAATTCAAATGAAGGTGAACCTCAGTACCAGGTAATTTTTTCAAGTTTGGCCCTGGTGGGACATCAGTACCAGGTATTCTTTTATGTTGGAAAATGTTCTGCTGTCGCCGAACGGACATGGTGCTCAAAACCTAATAGGAACACTATTTGCTCTGGCTGACTGGGTGGTGACTTTGGATCGTCGGGGTTTCTGAGAAGTCGGTGGCAGAACATCCAGCCTCGCTAGCTTGTCTTGCGGGTGAGCTATTGTCTTCCCCCGAATAGAACGTACGGCCATTATGGAGGTATTTGGCTCACCTCGCTGTCCAGATGCAGCGAAAATGAATGTACGTTCTATTCGGGGGAAGATGGTAGCTCGGTTTGCAGAGAAGAGAGCTAGCCTGTTTTGCAGGTGAGGAGTACACAAGCAGGTCCCTCTGTCATCATAAGGCCTACAAAAAGTGCACCTTTCTTTTCTTTTCAGAAAGGCGGACCACGTCCTTGTGGTTGTCGGCGTAGGTTTTGAAACACTCATATGATGATCATGAATCGATGATGACGACGACGATGATGACGATGACGATGATTACGACGACGATGGTGATGGGAATTGTGAAAGCAAATCGGTTCTTCTTCTGAGCATTCTAACTACAGTTGTGTGTGTTGTGTGTGTACGTCTTTACCAGGCAAACACCGTTGAGGAGAAAGTGAGGGCAGCTGCAGAGTATAAGCTTGGAGTTGCAAATCAAAGTATCACTGCTGGTTTCTTCGATGATCACACAAGGTCAGCGCTTGTCTCTCTTTTCCCGAGTTTTAGGGAGGATCTATTCGCTCGCTTGTGAGCAAGGCTTTTGGGAGGATGATCTAGCAGCACCCCACTGAGTTGTCAGTGGACAAAATTTCATTTCGTTAATATAAAAAAGGATCCCAACCATACTTGCAAGCAGACGGACCGGACGAGCGTCCGGTCCAGTCCGCTCTGCCGCGTGCGGCACCCTCCCCCCGGACCGGACGGACCCGGACCGGACCGGACGGGGCCATTTTTGTTTTTTTTTGGGGTGGGGGGGGGGGGGGGGCTGTAACTGGTCGCCGGGTGCACGTTCGTGCGCCGCGCGGGTCCGGTCCGGCGGTCTGCCGCACATGCGGAACCGTCCGGACGGCGTCCGCTTCCAAGTATGCTCCCAACCATTTGGCTGAGCTGAGTTGGTACACCATTGAACTGTTGAAATATAGACCTGAGTTCAAAATCCACTGGAAGCAGACGAGTAAAATCCTAGAATTCATGTTTTCAAAAAAAAAAAAAAAAAAAAAAAATCCTAGAATTCGGAATTACTTTGGGCCAGTCAGTTCGATAATAATGATATCTCAAGGGCTCCGCCCTTCTTAGAAAACAAAAAAACAAAAAAGCAAAGGCTCCCATGCGACGCCACATGTTTGTTTTGGAGAGTATGTCAATCTTCACATGGAAGTCGCATCTATTTGCTCTTTGAAAAGCATCGTGTCGGGAGGGGAGGGGAGGGTAGTGGAGTGGAGAGAAGGGGCAGCAGGAAACACTATCCCTCTGTTTTTTGGGGAAGCACCGCTTTCAACGTCATCATGAAAGCGAGCGAAGTTCAGTGAACATGTCACCACTTTGGTTTTCCAGTTGACCAGGTGCAGTGAATCAGGTCAAGAATATACGGGAACAGGCATATCTCACTTAGCTTTTCAGAACATTGCCACATAGTGTATTGTATATGCGAGATGGCCATTGTCCATGTTCTATGTGCGCGCTGGAACAATGTCCCACTTACCCTGATTCTTAACTTCAAAGTTCATACCTTTGATTGCGAAGACCATAGTTGCGGCGCACCACTGCGCAGTGCGGTGCAGGATGGTGCGCACTGCGCTGTGCGCTGGAATGACGAGCGCGCACTGTGCGCCGTGCACAGTGCGGTCCGCTGTGCGCGGTGCATGCGCTGAGGGAGGAGCGCCCTCTACGCAGAAAAAAAAAAAAAAAAAAAAAAAAAAAAAGGCCGCACAGAGAGAGAGAGAGAGAGAGAGAGAGAACAAAGGGTCCCCTTCACGTCAATTCGAGGCCCGCTGCAGGTACCTCGAATGACTCTACGATACATGTTGAGTCATTGAGGGCCACTGCTTCAGCGAGAAGGACAGCCTCGGCATGTGTGGAAGAGATGGGGGCAGACCACCAATATGTCCTGTGGATTCGAGCTCAGGGCTGTAGCTCGGCAGTTATGGGTCACCAATTCAGCTAGACCCTGTTCGTGTCTCCACGTGATTCTCAGGGCCTCCCTCCAGCACTCACCAAATGTATATGATAATAGTAGAATGAATCTTCTGCTAAAACATGGAGCCATACACCGCCATATGTAGTGGAGCAAGCCCCACTGTACGTTTTCGTAAGAAAACAAAAACAAAAGAAAACGAGAGAGCTACGGGCATCTTCATCGTAACTCGTAACTACCGACATGCAGACCTCAACACCAATCTTCAGCATATATTGGTGGTCGGCTGCCCGTGGAAAATGCAACGTGTGACGTCTGCGAAGCTTCGCGGGGCAGGTCTTTATTAGGCGACTACCCCGTTCTTGCGAACCTAACCCACCACTGTGTGGGATTTGAAGAAGTGTGGGGTAAGGCCAGTTTCCATTCCACGCCTAAAAAAAAAGTTGGAATGAGCCCTATTTTATGCTTTGCCATTTTCAAACTTTTGGGGGCAGGGCCCGCTGAAATCGAAATCTAGCAGCCCTTGCCCAAAAAAAAAAATAGGGCTGGGGGTGCGGTGAGTTTGATATTTTTGCCGAGTTGGGGCCCCTAAGGAATGACAAAACTCCTGCTTTTTTTTTTTTTTTTTGGACCTAATTTTTCGAGTGCGCTGCGCTTCGGTGCGCTGTGCGGTGCGCTGTGCGTGGTCCGCAATGCGTCCGCAAGTCCGCGCACTGAGGTGCGCCGCAACTATGGCGAAGACCAATGGCCAGACATTCAGAGTGTGGGTGGGTTATGCGGGACCTTTTTCCCCTCCCGAATGCATCCTCTGTTGGTCTTAAACCGCTAGTACACGGCCCCAGCCTTGCAGAAAGTTTTTGCCGCCACAAGCAAAACTCGGAGGCGCCGCGTGGCCCTCCGCGCCGTTGAAAAAAAGTCAAATTGGCAGCCTCCGAAGTGGTGTGGGTTTCATGCTGACACACGCAGACCGATGCGTGGTGTACTGGTGCTTTGACACAACTGTTCAAGTCCAACAAATTCCAACAAATTCCCAACAAATTCCAACAAATTCCCAACAAATTCCCACAAATTCCTACAAAAATTCTAACAAATTCCCAACAAATTCCTACAAAATTTCTAACGAATTTCCAACAAATTCCTACAAAATGTCTAACAAATTCCAACAAATTTCCAACAACTGTTGAGAAGGAACCGGCGTCCTTTGGGCCATCTGCTAAAAAATTGGAACGATACAGAGAAGATTATCATGACACGCATACATCAAGGAATTAGTCAAAAACTATCTCCAAGATTCCAAATTGTTTAGGAAAAGAAGAATAAAAAGCTGTGAAGGACAATTGCACACCAGAATCCAGGGGGATAAAGGACTGTTCAAGAAGTAGAGAGACGAAAAAAGGAGTGTGCATATATATCGGCCATTGTGCTTGTTCTATGTGTGTGACGTGCGTGCGAATATTGCATACACACTCAATAGAGAGGAGAGTATGGTCCTCCTGCTACCTCAAGTGAACATGCGGAGTCCCGATTCATACATTCTGTTACAGATCGCGGCGGCGGAGCTCGATCCCTGGACCTCATGCTGGGTACCCCGACACTTATTCTCTGGCAATGTCGACGGTACCAGCACATTTTACATTTCTGTCCCTTGAACAGTATCACCTCTACCCCGCCTGGTACTGATGTAGTTCCTACTTACCCCTGAGATCAGCCTAGCCGTTAGGCTGGTCCCTGGTGTATGTATCGGTCCCACGCTTGCAGTCAGGACACCGAGTATTGTTACTCTGTTTCATACCATTGGAGTATGAGTTCGACATTGAGTGGCTGTCGGTGCTCTTCTCGGAGCATCATCCGTGCATCCTACCTACGAGTTGAGCTCTACGTTGAAGTCTGGTTGTGATCTTGTTCATCTTCACTCCCTCTCACCCGTTCTTCTTGAACCCAGTGCTCATCGCACATTCTGACGACTTTGAGTTTCCCTGCTGTGTGTGTGCAAGGAATGCTCGTTCGCCGAGCATTCCATACACCGGAGAGTTTGGTCTCCTGCCGTCTCCCCCCAAGTGAATGTTCGCGGAGCATTCATGGTCCCAGGCTTCCAAATCATGCCGTTGCGCGACTGTTGACGTCATGTTTTTCTTCTTTCTGTCTTCCGAAGAATAGAACATGTGGTCACTGCAGCTGTCTTTGGGGCAACTTTCGGTCAGCTGTAATAATGACTGACTGTGCGTTCTATTACTGTGTGATACCCTCTTACACCAAATGCAAACCACCGTGGTAATGAATGTATACAAGGCTATTACAAGCCACATACGGACCACCCTGGTAATGAATGTGTGCTGTTTTCTGTCTGCCCTATACAGTGCTGAGGAGGGTTTGTTGTGTTAAGTAAGAGACAGTAGCACCAGCGTGACAGGCTCGGACGTCAACTGTGGTCTGGATCATGTGTGTATGTGCTGGTTTTGTCTCGTGTGATTGCAGCGCGGAGGACCGGCGAGAGTACCTGGAGTCCTTGCTAAGGGAGGCTAACACAGAGAGAGAAGAGAAGGCTCTCGTGCTCGACGACAAGGCGCTCAACCATTTGTTGGCTCGGAGGTAAGTGCCAAGCAGAGGTGGTTGGTTTTGCTGCAGAGGGAACGTGGGGTCTGTCGATCTGTACTCTGCGCCTGCAAGTTAAGTAGAGGTGTCTACGGTCTTCCCCCCCCGAATAGAATGTACGGTCATCGTTATGGCTGGTATCTAGACAAAGTTGCACCAAGTGCAGCCATAATGACCGTAGATTCTGTTTGGTGGAAGACGGTGGGTTTGCTGCACCGCAATGCCTGCCAATGCAGCAGTTGATGCCATTTGGTCATCAAGCATTGTACAATAACTATTGGGTTGGGTCTTTACCCACCGGTACAAACGGGCCCAACCTCCCAAGCCTAACACATCCCGGTACCACGCTGGTTTCTTTCGGTCCCGAAAAGGGAAACCAGTGCGGTACAAACAGTCCCAACCTCCCAAGCCTTTCCTTCCTCCTCAGATACGTTGAATGGAGCATGGGTTTGTTGATTTCTACTTCCCTTCCTCAGGTACATTCAATGGAGCAACTAAACCACCAGTCGCCAGTCGCCTTTCCAAAACTATACTGTTTCGACGTGGCGGTTAATCCATCACGTCAGCAGGGGCACAGCTTGGTGGACCAAAATGGCTGCAGCTGCCCGGCAAAATGAAAGCGTGTTGCGCCCGCATCGGTTCGTGCTTTTTTGGCACACAGCAGCTGTCCGGGTCGGGAAAAAGAGGGCCAGAGGAATTTGTGTCTTTTTTTTTTCTTTTTTCTTTTTTTCTCCCCCCCCCCTCCAAAGGAACTGACAACTGGTGGGGTTTGCGATTGTGCTGAGTGAATTGTACCACCCCACTATGTACGAACCTGACCTGCCGACAGTGCCCCGAGGCTATCGAGGCCCAGTACCATAGTGGTTTCCGGCAGTCGCCCCGGAAAGTGCCAAGCCTATCGAGGCCTTCTGTGCTCACCAGGTTGTGGTACTGCACCTTTCCTGTATGTGCGTTTGATTGCTTGATGATTGTTGTACTCTTAACCCTTGCTCACATTTTTTTAATTTTCTTTTTTAATCCCTCTTCTCTGCCTTTGCAACAGGGATGCTCGAGGGCTTTTTTCGAGTATTGTGCTCTCATTTCTGTTACTCCAGCTGCTGCTTGTTTCTCCTGTTTTTCTTCAGCAGCTCAGATTTTGAAGTGATCGGATTCATCGGAAGTTTCAGAACAGATACTGCACTTGGTCTTTGCCCACCAATGGCCCGTTTTGGACTATCCCGCATGGCGGTGAAACCTGTCAAATCGGCGGTGAATCCGGACCGAATCCGGACCCCGGACCCCAGACCTCCCGGGCCCTCCCGGACTTCCGGAAAACCGGAATATTCCGGAATATACGAACCGAGCTGGACCCCCTGTCCGGATGCCGGTCCGGATCCCCTATATTGTCCGGAACGCCTGTACTCCTGTCTCTTATACACATCTAGATGTGTATAAGAGACAGGAGCAACGGCGCCCATGCAAGCTATCTGAAGGGTCCTCGCAGCCATGTAGCGCAGTCCCCCCAAAAATCGACACAGGCAGTGAATATGAAACAGGGCACGAGCTGGCTGAATATATACTCAAGATTCGAGTTCAGGTCTGTGTTTCAGCAGTTATGGGTTGCTCTCGTAGCTAGGCCCTGTTGGTCTCTGCAAGTGGCTCTTAGGGCTTGGCTGCACTACTCACGAAATGTGCAAACTAGAATGAATCTTCTGCAGAACGTGGAATAATACGCCACCATATGTTTTGTCTTTTGTGCATTTGGTGAGTAGAGGCCCTTAGGGCCACTGCACGTATTCCTAAGAAAAGAAAAACGAGAAAAGAAAAGAGAAACGAGAACAGAAAAGAAAAAGGAGAGAAGAAAAGAAAAGAAAAACGAGAAAAGAAAAGAAAAAGGAGAGAAGAAAAGAAAAACGAGAAAAGAAAAGAAAACGAGAAAACAGAGAAATAGTGACCCATAACCGAGACGCACAGACCTGAATTCGAATCCAGACTATATATTCTCTGCCCACGGCCCCACACTTACAAAGTACAAGTTGAGTTGTACCTCTGCTTGACGTAGGGTCCTACTCAGTAGGCTGTATGACCCTTCGAAAAAGTATGGAGAAAACAAACCCCCTCGTGGACTTTACGGGCTTTCTGGATCGTCGACGAGAGTGGTAAAAAATAAGGCACTATTTTTTGGGGGCGGCCCAGGGCATGAACAAACGCCCTGGAGCACCCAAAAAAATTTTGGCCATTGGGCCGAGGCCCTCACACATCCGGACCAAGATCCGGACCCGGACCACGGACGGTCCGGATCCCTGTCCGGTGGTCCGGATCGTAGCCATGGTCAAAGGGCGCCGTAGGATCATCACACCAACCAGCCGATCTGTTTACTACATGTCATCCACATGGCCTGGACTCTAAAGTCAAGAAAGTAGTCCGTTTTTCTTACTTAAATTGCATTGCCCCCAACTTGGGGGCAACGATCACCAATGTCTCTTAATATACTTGAGCATATATAATATACGTTGGCAAAAGAAAAGCCCCGAATTCGCAGTCCGGGGATGCACGTTGCGCATATGTGTGTGTGTGTGTGTGTGTGTGTTTAACCTCTGATTCATTTTCTCTGTTGTGTAGACCTCTCTTCCTCTTCTGTTTTTTCTCAGAATGTTCGACCTGCAGTGCATTGCTTTCATTTGGCGTATGCGCATTGCTGAACTGAACAAGAATTTCTCCTTGTTGGCATGCGTGCACATTTTTGACTGCAGCCCGGAGGAGCTGGACGTGTTTGAGACGGAGGACTTGAAGCGGGAAAAGCAGGAAAAGGTGAGTTAGGGGAGGAGGGACGAGGCAGGGAAGCTTGTTTCTAGAGGCTCCTCAAACCTCATCTTATGATTTTATCCTATTGCATTCAGTTGTCACTCTGGAAAAGAAATATTGTGAGCCCAGACTGGTTGGTTCAAACCGGCAACTAATGGATGCTGGGGGGTGTTGGGGGGGTGGGGGGTGGGGGGGCGCGGGGGCTCTCGTTGGCGTGATGACCCTGCGCCCTTTTACCATTGCGATGGTAAACGAGCTTACGTAGAAGGGCTTAGGGAGGGGCTCTTGTAGGCAGAGTGTCGATTGACGCCAGTACAAAATATCATCAACGAAGCAATCTTGTCTTTCTCCTCTTCCTCGTTGGATGTCCCTTTTTTCTACTCCTCTTACTCCTTAATTGGCGGAGCATTAACGCTATCAACTAAATCTTGTCCTCCTTCCCTGACCCCCTTCCCCCCCATCCCCACCTCCGGTCCAGACCTTCGGCGTTGGCTGTGTATCAACGCCGGTGCACAGTGTGGTTGACCCCTGGCCACAGACCCCTGCGGGGGTGGCCACCCCTACCCCCGGGGTCGACCCCCGCAAAGCGCCCGAAAGAAAATCCAAAAAAGAAAAACAAAACAAAAAATAGCCAAAATAGCCTCAGGTGCACAGCGGCAGCGGCTTCCTATTCGCCTTGTTTTATTTTTATGTTTTTGGGGTGGTCCCCCTGGGGATGAGGCCTTGGTGACCCCATCTGTGCCGTGGGTGTGGTACAGGGGTGTGGGGGTGGGGGGGGGGGGGGGGGGGGGGGGGGGGGGGGGGGGGGGGGGGGGGGGGGGGGGGGGGGGGGGGGGGGGGGGGGGGGGGGGGGGGGGGGGGGGGGGGGGGGGGGGGGGGGGGGGGGGGTGGGGGGTATGTTTGGCGGTGGAAGTCATTTGGGGGGTTCGGGGCGAAGGGGTGGGATGTGTGGGGATGGGGCCGGTGCTGGGGATGGTGGAGGCTGGGGTGATGGGAGTGTAGGTGGGGAAGGGGGTGCAGGGGTGGTGGTGGGGGTCCCGGGGTGGGGTTGCATGGGTGGGTGTGGGTGTGGGGGTTGCGGGGGTGGGGTTCCAGAGGTGAGGGTCACTGCGGGGTGCGGGTGCATGTGGCGGCGGGGAGGGTTGGCGGTGATGAAGTTGGAGCATTTTTTTCTGCTCCCCTGGATGATCGTTTTGAAAAAATGCATTCCACTTGATGGGGAATCCAAGGAACCAAAAAAAAAAGATTCTGAATTTCCACCCCCTCACATACCCCGGCTTGGCCCCGGTTTGGTCCCGGGGATCCCCGTGTCAAAATGTCATAAATTGAACAATCTTCTTCTCCTTCTGCCCTGCGGCGGCCTCTGTATTGGCTTGAGGGGATCCCCGTGTCAAAATGTCATAAATTGAACAATCTTCTTCTCCTTCTGCCCTGCCCTTTTGTTCTTCTACTACTGCTGCTTGTTTTTTTCCCCTTCTTTTGCTGTTCTTCCTCCTCCCCCATGTCCTTCGGCTCGAAGAAAGGGGCATCACGTGATTCATAACCGTTTTGAAGAAATGAGAGGGAGATGGCAATGAGTGGAAGTGTGTATATATATATATATATAACAGTTTGTCACAGCCCCTCGTTTGTTGTCCTCTTCTCCCTGTCTGCCTACGGTTTACCGGGCAGTTCTATTTGACGATATATAATATAATATACATATTTGTTGTCCTCTTCTCTGTATCTGCCGATGTTAGCTAGGGAGGCTTTTCCATCCCTATTTTCCCATCCTCACCTCACTGCTGTTTCCCTCCCCGCTCGGTTCGACCACAGCTCAAGACAATCCAGAAAACCAGATGCAAGCTCAACGAAAGTGGCCCCCTTTTGGAGGAGGGATACGAGTGTTTCACTGCTCATGCAGAGTATGCATTCATTCAGTAAAACAAAGTGCGAACTGAAAACTCGTAATTGAGAAGTTGTACCAGCCAGAACTCATTTATGTCAAATTCCGTGTGATTATAGCATCTGCTGATGTGCTTTGACTTTGTCGTTGGAATAGGAACGAAACTGGTAAGGTACTCGCTGTAGTTGGCACAGGCGGAATATATTTTTGTCTGCTTTTGTTGTAGTTTTCGCTCTCCTCTTTTTGGTGTTTGTTGTTTTGCGTAGTCCAGTTTCTATATTTTGTTCTGGAATTGCATGTTGGGATTTTGAAGCATGGGGCGCTGGACCCTTCTTCCCGTATGAGCCTAACCAGGGTATTATTGACCCCAGCAGTCCGGGTTGAGATGTGGAGGGATCCCGGCCTCCTTATGCTCATGTAATGAAATCATGCTATTCCTTAAAAAAAAAAAAAAAAAAAAAAAAAAAAAAAACAACAACAACAACAACAACAACAACCAGGAATGAAACTGGTGCTGCCCAGAATGGACATGGAGTCAGGGCCATACAGACCTTTTTTTGAGGCTTTTTTTCCTTTGTTTAAAGCAGGCTCTTATGGTCCTGACTCCTGTAAGGACCTGTGGTTCTTCACAAGAAAAAGGAAGAAAAATACTAAGTAGTAGGTGGTCTTCTCTGCTCTCTTTCGCTTCCTCCTCGTCCTCGTCTACCAAAGCCTTGTCATATGCAATAGTTCGAGTGCAGTACCTGAGGGACGGAAAGGTGGGGTGCTGCTGTGCTGTCGAACGGCATCAAGGCGGGGAGTTTTGAGTCTTTTGACCCTTGCACCCAAACTGGTAGCGGGCATTTATTTTTATACTATGTTCCTCGCTGCTGCGTTCTTTTTTTTTTTATTATTATTATCGTTCTTCCCCATGCATGTTCCAGCTGTGCTCCATCTGAATATCTGAATAAGTACAATTCTACTGTTTGCCCTTACAAGGAATGTAAGGATACAGGGAAGTGACTCTGTTTTAGGATCGCTACTATTCTCGCAGGCTTGTCGCCCGCACCCTGCGGTTAACCCACTGCCATGGCCCATGGATATGCGTGGCCTACCACACCCAAAGGGTGCCGGCGCCAAGTAGGCCCACCCACTTGGCAGTTGGGAATTTCAGGGGGAGGTGAAATCGCGCATTGGAAAAAAGTTGCCCGAGGATAGTGGTGGTTTAACGTTGCACTAAACATTGCAAGGTACAAATGCTCAATAAATCGACGAATCCGGTCTGCCATTCACGTATTCGCTTACCATCTTGCCAGGCGTATGATGCCATGTCAACTGTACATATGCCTGGTTGGTTAGATAGGAAGCCTCTGTCATGCTTCGCAGTGTGTGCACATCTCCTTGTATTCTTGCTTCGGCACATGTGTAACTCTGTGTGAGTCTGTCCGTGCGGAGGCAACTGCATGTCTGTGTCTTGTGTGTGTGTGTGTGTGTGTGTGTGTGTGTGTGTGTGTGTGTGTGTGTGTGTGTGTGTGTGTGTGTGTGCATCTCCTCGTGTTTTTGCTCGGGGGCATGTGTGTGAGTCCGTCTCCTACTGAGGCAAGTGCATGTCTT